CCTTCATATGGTGTGCAGCCATCATTTGTGCTATTATCTCTATCGTCGTGATCTTTGGTGGCATTGTAGTCTTCGTCGGTTACATGGTTATTCACCCTCGAGTTCCAATCATTAGTGTCGATGGTGCTCACCTCGACCTCTTAAAGTACCAACTCTTCTTCCCCTTTTCTGAATCTTTAAATCTTGATTATCATTAAATCATTTTTTTTTTGTTTGTTTTGACAAGGTATGATATAGTTGGAGTCATGCAAACGCAGTTAACAATTGTGATACGAGCGGAGAATGATAACGCCAAGGCTCACGCTTTGTTTGATAAAACCGAGTTTAAACTAATTTACGAAGGTAAAACAATTGCGTATTTAAGACAAGACGAGTTTGAAGTTGACAAAGAGAGATCTGTATTATCTAATTACTTGGTTCAGTCATATCCAATACCACTGAATCCAACAATGATGGAAGCCATAGACTTTGCGGTTAAACAAGATGTGATTACGTTCCAGCTTAAAGGTGGGTCAAAGGCTCGATGGCGAGTCGGACCATTAGGATCGGTTAGGTTCGAGTGTAACCTTAGCTGTGAGCTTAGGTTTAGACCGTCTGATCATAGTTATATTTCATCTCCTTGTACTTCTGCTCATAAGAATTAGGAGTGCTATTGTCGTCTCTTTCCCTCTCATTTAATTTTTCTTTTCTGAACTTGACTAGTTTTTTTTTAATTTTATAAATATATTTTTGGGATTGATTTTATTATTAATAAATAATTGTTATAGTCAATATCTATTATACTAATGGAAACATACATTGAAATAAATGAAGAAAAAACCCAATTATATGAAATAAATAAACATAAATAAGTAAATAACCTAAATAAAACTAAACTGAAAATGTATCCCCGCGCTACTGTGCAGGTCGGTTATTAGAAAAATGATATGTACCGGTCAAATCATATCAATGGTCCTACTCTTGTCTTTCGTGATGCTTTGCTATAGTGATATGTATCATGATGTTTTTGATATGTATCAGTATATATTATTGACCAAATTTAATGTATCGATAAATCTATAGTGCACAACGGATCAAATTTAATTGAAAATGATTACATCCACAAAATGCTATAATACTAGGTATTTTATCCCGCGAATTCCGCTTTTATGTTTTCTTAAAACTTTTTTTATGAGTGTTCTTTCTATTTTTTACATTTTCTAAAAAATTCGTTGATACAAAATCCTTTACAACTTTTAATTTTTAATTTTAATTTTTTTTAATATTTTTCTTTTATAATTATACATAAACAAATCTCCAATTTTTGGTTCTTAGTTTTGTCACATTTTGGGTTTAGACATCATTCTGAAATTAGAAATTCATTACCTTAACCTTCGAGAAGCAAATATGAAGATTCAAAAATATGACTCTTTTGCCATTGTTTCTCAAAAATCTTAGTTAAATTTCACTTGAAAACCAATTTCGTCAAAATCCTAAATCCCTACGTCCCTATTATTACTCTCAGTCCTACATATAAAGCTAATAAATCAGAAGATTTATGTCACCAAAAGATATATAAAACTTAAAGGCCACATATTATTGTTTCCTTTAGTTTAGAGAAATTTTGGAAATATACTTTTTGATGAGTTTTCAATTTGAAAACTACCCATATATTTTCTTTGGTTTTGAAAAATACACTTTTAATATGTGAAATGACTTAATTATCATAATTTGAAGTTTTCAACTAATTTAATAAAAACGAAATTCTAATAGGAAATATTAAATATTAAGATTTGATAATATTTTTTTTTTCATTTTAAAATACTAAACCATCCTAATTATTTGTTTAGTTTTTTTTTTTATAAAAAATTCAATATAAATATAAGGTTGTTTATATAAAGTTTTAAAAATATTTAATTTTGTTTCAAGATAAACATTGAAAATGAAAGATATATTTTTCCACTTTTAAATTTTTAATAATTTATAAAGTTTAAATATATGTAAAGTTCAAATCTATATAAAGTTTCAGTTAGTTGCAATGTGTGAGATTAAACTGTTTATATGAAGGTCCAAAAATATTAAAATTTGTTTCAATTTAACATATACTATATTTATCTGAAAAAAGAAAAAATCTTATTAATTATGAATTTCATTTTTAATTTGTAATTATTTATTAATGCTTTGTTTAATTCTGTTCAAACAGACTTTTTATATTCAGAAAGTATAGTTTTCAAAACAGAAAAAAATCTAAGGTACTTTTCAGAACATAAGTGAGGTATTTTTCAAATAATCCCTTTAGTTTATTGGCAGTGTTGCTCGTCATTCTAATCAATGTGATGGTTTAAAATTTTCCAACAACAAATTCTTCAATTTATCATTATTTTTTATTTAACTATTAAATAAGTTTACAGATAAAGTAATATACTTTAAAATTTGAGGCCACCAAGAATCTCATGCTGACCTTGATCACTCTATCTGAGTATCTCTCATCTCCTTTAATTATATGAACACTACTAAGCATTTCGTTTCAGAATTTTAGAGATTGCATCTCTTTGAAGGTCACAATTCATACTAAATCACCTTTGCCCCAAATCTTTCCAATAATTTTCCAAACATTCATTAGTTACACTTCAACTCTGAAAAATCAGATTTCTTGTTTTGACATGTCTTTGAATTCAGCCAGTGATCTTTTATGCTGGTTCATTTTCTGGTTATTCCAAAAAATTCAAAAAACTATAGATAGTTGCAGTTTTTATTTTCAAGATATCTTCAAGACAAAATATTATTTCCACTTTAATATATGATATAGCTCATATAAATCAACAAATTAATAGCATGTTGATGCTTTGATACAATTTTTTGTTTGTTTATGTTCCATATGTAGTTACATATAATTTTTTTTAAAAAGAACAAACTAATTTGTAACATATTTTTTAAAATAGTAAAATGAATATGTAACATATTAAAAACATATAATTTTATATATTATATATTTTATACTAACAAAAACGAAATTTTAAATTTATAATTTTATAGGAAGTAATTTTCATTTTTTAGTTTTTTTATGTCATTAGAAATTTTGTTTTTTTCTATTTTCTAAACATTGTAATATGAATAAAAATAGAATTAAGTATTAAGAAAATATCATAATAACAATTAAAAAGGAAATTCTTTTAAGGTGCTTATGTGTACCAATCATATCGAATTTCTTATTTTCCTTTATATGTTAATATGTTATTAGATTTTTTTCTAAATATTTTAATATCAATAAAAATAGAATTAAATATTCAGGAAATATCATAATAACAATTAAAAATAAAAATATTTGGTGTTGAATCATTCGCCTGAACTAATATTTGGTGGGAAACCTCTTTTAGACTGTGAAAGTTGATTTACTTGTAGGTTGTGAACAGTTGAACTTATTCGAACTAATGCTTGATTTAATCACCTAGGAACATATCAAAAGTTTAGCGACTAGGTAGATTAACAAAGGGGTCGGAACCACGAAAGTGGAAAGATCATACCATAGTGTTTCGAGTTCTAGATGGTGCCTATTTACAATAACCCTAATCGATTGACCCTTGCTTCTTGAATTGCTTATCTTAAGACTATCCTATTGCTTAGCTTTCTTTTCCCATTGATTTTATTCTTCTTTACTTATTTGCTTTACTTGCATGCCTTTATTTTTACTGCCTCAAACCAATTTCATACTGTTTGCCCTAGCTCAATCTCGATCTTATAATTTGTAGTGTGCAATCTCGTTCTCGTGTTCGATGCACTTGCAAAATCAGGGATAGGAAAAGGGAAGACCTGATCCCGCGATCAACTACATTAGAGAGTAAATGGTTCTTGGTCCTTGCGGACATCTTCACGAAACCACTGGCTCGCCGACCGTTCAGTGAGCTCAGAGACAAATTTGGTGTCGAAAAGTTTCCTACCTCAAGTTTGAGGGGGGATGTGAATAAACAAGACCCATTTACACTAGACCCGTTGAAGGAAAAGTCCATATGTAATGTGTGCAAGTTGTATTAGAAAAGAAAGAGAAAGAGCCATTAAAGCTTATCAATAAATTTGCCATACTTAATTTTCTTAACCATGGTTAATCTATAATTGAATTATATACATAAACATAAGGTTCTAAAAATATCTATAAGTTTTCTATATAATGTATATCTAAGCTATCATTATAAGTTAGTTATTCAAATAATAAAATCCAGTTTTATCAAAGTTCTTTCAGTTTTCAGTTCATAGTAGCTGCTCTTGACTAATAATCTGATGTGCAGATCTTGCTTGAGCTTGAAGGAAAAATTTCTCCTTTTGATTTGAGCTTGAGGGATGCTTTTGTTTCTCTTGATTTTCTCCTTTTATAACTTAATTAGTTTTATTTTATTTATATCTTTTTGGGGTTGAATTTATGTCTTATTAATAAAAAATCTCCATGGAAATTTTGTATTCTATTTCACGAGTTTGTTTTTTTTTATTTCATGAACTTTTTTGTTTTTGTGCAAACAGGAAAAAAAATAATTTGAAGAGACGAAAATTTGTTTGTTTTTTTTCTTTAATAAAGAAACTCTGATCTTTATCCAAAATACGAATGACCTGAGAAATACATTCAACGTGTCATGCATGGCTCTCATCTCTCTGCCACATCTCTCTCTTTCCCTATCGACTTTCCTTCCCTAGCTTCTCTATGGTTCAGTCTCTACAACTTCTGATCTCTTACTCTCACTCTATACTCTTCGCCTAAAACAGGTAAGCTTTCTAATTTATCCTTTCCTTTATGGGATTTTTTCAGAGTTTTGCCCCTGTTTTAAGAACTAGGATCATCTTGATTCGTTTGAAGCACTAAACTTTATTAAGAGTCAACGACTCGAGTTCCTAAGTTATGAATTTTCATTTAACCTTGAAAACAAGTCTTGACCCCTCTTTTTTAATTGAAATTTCTATACTAATTGACTCATTTTTGTGTGTATGTTGACATGTTGTTAAAGGGACCGTTTTATATAGGTCAGTGAAGACAAATGGATCTCGGAGGTTTGGTTTCTGGTTTGGTCTCATCTTTAGTTTATATAATGACAAGACCTCTCTTTCTCTGCATATCTGCATGTGTGTTCTGTCTTAGAACAGCTCTTGTTACAGCCTTTGTGTCTACTGATATGGTGAGCTCTGCTATTTGGTTCAACTTAAGCATGATCTGGAGAGCTGTGTGGGGCACAATCTGGGGATCTATTCTCCTCTTTACCTTCCCAATTCGCTTTTTCGCCTCTATACCAAGAGAAAGACTGGTTCGTTTCGGTTTACAAACCCCTCTTTTATCCTGTTTTAGTAATCTTTGATAGATTCTACAAAAAGAAAAGTTATTCACTTTGATTGAGCTTGCAAGATTTGGTACTGACCCTCTAAACGATCTTAGAGTGTTTAGATGAATCTCGATCCGTAAATTGAGTTTTTTTTTTTTTTTTTTTTTTTTTTTTTTTTTTTTCTATATGGTTTCAAATTAGCATCTTGAAAAGTTGACAAGATTGTGTATATTCCAATTGTGTTGTATTTTTGTAGCTTGAGGAGACTATTCACGAGTTGCGGTACAAGGTGGAAAGTCTTGAATGGAACAGAAAAGAAATTGAGGAGACTCTTCGGAAAGCCATAAAAGAATATCGAGTCATGGAATCCGAATTAGATGAAATAGAAGATGAACATGATGTAGCCATTTCAAGAATTGAGAAGCTAGAGGCCGAGGTACATAAAAAACCGGTTTATTCGACTTGTTACATAAGCATAACCATATATAAACCAATGTTCTAAAACATTTGGATTTCTTCAACAGTTACAAAAGCTAAAGGAGGAAAATCTTCATTTGAAAGAAATTCAAGGAAAAGAATATAGGAGCATGAAAGGCAAAGCTAAACCGGAGGAAGAACCAGAACCAAGCGAAATCAGTCACATCTTACCAAAGCCGAAGAATATCCCTTATGGTTCAAAGGGAGGAAAATCCGAGTTTCGATCGGTTAAGTCTCCTCTTTATCCATTTGCGAAATCGACAATCCCGGAAGAAGGAGAACTAACACCAAGAATTCTCGGTTTAGAAAGAGACATCGCGGTTTCAAGAAGCGTGTTCAGTGCAATGCTTGCGCTCGTTGTGGGTGTAGTACTGTATGGAGCCAAAGAGAAAGAGCTGTGTACTCCACTCATAGGAGCACTCTTCACTGTGGTCGGTATCTCTTTGAGAAGTGTGGTTCAGTTTTTCTCCACGGTTAAGAATAAACCGGCTTTGGATGCGGTCGCTCTTATGAGCCTCAATTGGTTCATCGTCGGTACTCTTACTTACCCGACTCTACCGAGACTTGCTCGAGTCGTTGTCCCGCGAGTCTTTAGCACCGCTGGCTCGGTCTTGAGTTTACTTGGTACTAGCTCGGTCCCCTCACCACCACTACAAGAATTCGTGGACTATGTTGGTTAAGCTTTTGTGCATATATTTTACAAATCTTTTAGTACTTTTTCTGTAACCTTTTTCGTACTTTTTCTTGTTCTTCTTCTTCTTCTTGTGAATACTATCACGCGAGTCTAGCCAAACCGGACTGAACGTGGATATGTATGTATTTTTGTGATATATATAAGTTTTATGTGTATGAACATATAAGCTCTTTTCCTCGCAAAAGAAAAGGAACATATCAAATATTTAGGTGACTTTTCTGTGTATGTGGGAAGAGAAGACTTACAAATTAGTCGATCGAAATTATCAATGGTATTATGGTACATAACTTTTTTCTACCAACTAATATACCGGAGCTATTTGAAAATCAATATTTGAATATAAATTTAAAAAATTGAAAATGAATCACTTGTTAAGAAACTAAACTGTACCACTATCTCTTTATTATTAATTTGAGAATATTGACAATTTTTGGACCAAAAAACCAATCCCTTTATGAAGAAAAAGTGTTTGGCAACAGGTATAAAGAGGGGTAATTTAGTAAAAAAAATAACAACTCGGCTGAGTTGACTCAATTTGCCGAAAAATCCGACCCGATTAAAAATGGATATACACGCGGATCCCATAACACTTAAAACGAACCAGAATAGAAATAGAAACGGTTCACTAAAACCGTCAACCAAAATCGAATTCAAAACCCCAAAACCAGAATCGAATTCAAAAGGCTATGAAAAGCCCAATGCAAACAAGCCCATCGTGAAATCAAATCCAATTTTACCTGCAAAAAAAAAGAAAACTTACACTTATCCATTATGTGGTAAAATCTTGAAAAAGTAAAAGTCCTAAAAATATGAAGCGGAAAAAAAGAAAATAACAACATTTAGATTATAATCAAATTAAAGAAAAAATAAAAAGTAAAAGAAAATTTGTTACTAAAGAAAATAACAAATTTACATTATAATCAAATTAAAGAAAAAAAATAAAAAGTTAAACAAAATTTGTGACTAATACAAATATGACGGAATGATATATGCGAACTTTCCATTTATTTGAATTACTTGATTCAAAAGCAAAAAATCTTAGAGAGATAATAGTCAACTTCCCTAACTTAAAAATTCTCTTTCTTAAGTTTATCAATATCATATATTCAGCTATATCTAAATTCCCAAAATTTATAATTGCACACCTTCATGACCTAATACTATATAAGTAGCATCGCATAACTCAACCTTAAACCTAACTCATCCGACTAAATTTATAATATTACTTTGTCTTTCGACAAGCATAACAAAATACGGAATCAATTCAAAATCAATTCGGGATCGAGTGTAAGCTTTGAAGAAGAATCCCCAAGATAATCGTCATCTTCAAGGCCCCAAAAATAAACGGATGGAAACATAGCCAACAATTAAGTCTCTTCATATATGAATTGTTTTCTGGCCACAAGCTTTTCTTTTTGCTGAATCTTTCGATTTACAAACTTGACAAATTTGAATTACAATCTTCATAGAGTTTTCTCGATGCTGCGACAATCGCTGGCTTGCAATGTAAGAAATGGGAAAGGAAGGTAGACTTTAGAAACAGCAATCGATCTTACATAGCATTCAGAAAGGGGAAAGGGGAAAGGGGGAAGGAAGGTAAAGTTTTTTTTTTGTTTTGTTTTTGCGTTTTTTTTTTCTGGACCAATTTAACTGTCTTTATTTGTTTTCACTTTCCACCACGTGTCTTAGGAGGAAGGACGTGTCTTAGCGAGGAAGACCAAAGTATTAGTTAGGACTTAGGATGTTGTTACACCAAAGTATTAGTTTTGTTGTTAAAAAAAAATATTATATTTCTTATACGTAAGTTTATCAAATGCATTTTATTGATTTTTTGGATTTTAGGTTTTACAAGTTTTCCCGAATTTTAGATTTATTGATTTAGAGATATAAAAAATATTTGGATTGGATTTGTTTTTAAAAAGAAATTGGGAATGGATTCGGTTCGAGTTTTTTTTGGGTCGAATTCAGATATTGGGCACAGATTTATGCTGTCATTTTTAATTACATGCAATTCATTGTTAGGATTTTGTCAGCTACAAAATTTTCAGATTTTAACATAATTTTATGTAGGTTTAGGATTTTGGGTTCACGTTGGTTTAAGGTGAGTTTTTTGGATTTTGGATTTCCGGGTTTAAAAATATAAAAACTGTATATTTTAAATTTTAATCAGTATGAGCTTTTCCAGGTTTTTAAAAGTTTTTTAAAAATTTAAAGAATTTCGGATTTTCAAATTGTTGGGTTTACAAAAGAAAGGTTTTTAACAAGTTTTGTTTGGTTTTTCCATACGTGTTTTCATGAAAAACCACAAAAACCACATATACTTTAATTTTAATAGTACAAATACCCAATTTTTTATTTCATGAGGTGATACATTTTGAGGTTAGATTTGAGGTTAAGGATTAGATTTTCTTCACTAAACCGCAACATCACACCGCACAAACGTGCGGGTACTTTACTAGTATATTATGTATAATGGATGTATGTATTTAATAAAAGAAGAAGCTGCAGTAGAGAGAGGATTACAAAGAGAGAGGGAGATGAGGTAGAGAGACTTTCTATTATGGAGAGGCAGGAGAGAATATTACGTGGTGAGAAGAAGTGTTTTAGTTCTTATTGAACTTATCGATGGATTCTTACAAATGCCAAGTACACGTATTTATAGTGCAAGGAAAACAATAAAATATTTGTCAAAAGCTTAAGTCGGTGAACTTAAGAAGGTGAAGAAAACTTACATAGTAAGATTAAGTAAAATATTATTTGATGGATAATTATCCATTTCTAACACTCCCCTTATTATCCATGAATGTGTATTATGTACGGTCTCGTTAAAAAACCTATGTCATAGAAAAACCCAATGGGATAAAAACTATGACTTAGGAAAAAGAGTACCGCAGCATAATCTCCCCTGGAAAAGATATAATCTTTTCTTTTCACAAGTTTTGTAGACGACGCATTCCAATGCTGTGAACATGCTTCTTGAACACTGTAGTAGGAAGCGCCTTTGTAAAAAGATCGGCTGCATTGTCACTTGAACGAATATACTCGATGTCCACTTCTTGATTTTTCTGGAGTTCTTGAGTGTATGAGAAAAATCTTGGAGGAATATGCTTCGTTCTGTCACTCTTGATATAACCTTCTTTGAGTTGTGTGACACATGCAGAATTGTCTTCAAATATTTTTGTTGGCTCTTTCTCTATGACTATTCCACTTGATTCTTGTATGTGATGAGTCATAGACCGGAGCCACACACACTCTCTACATGCTTCATGGAGAGCAATAGTTTCTGCATAATTTGAAGACGTTGCAACCAAAGTTTGCTTTTGCGAACGCCAGGAGACCGCGGTTCCACCAATTGTGAAAACATAACCTGTTTGTGATCTAGCTTTGTGTGGATCTGATAGATATCCTGCATCAGCAAAACCAACTAAAACACATTTTGAGTTTTTAGGATAAAATAATCCTAAATCAATTGATCCTTGAAGATAACGAAAAATATGTTTTATTCCATTCCAATGTCTGCGCGTAGGGGACGAACTATATCTTGCAAGCAGATTAGTAGCGAATGCTATATCTGGTCTAGTGCAATTTGCAAGATACATTAGTCCACCAATAGCGCTCATGTAAGGTACTTCAGGACCTAACACTTCCTCGTTATCCTCACAAGGACGGAATGGATCCTTTTCAACATCAAGAGATCTATTAACCATTGGAGTACTCAAAGGAGTTGCTTTGTCCATATAAAAGCGTTTTAACACTCTTTTAGTGTAATTTGACTGATGCACAAATATACCATCTTGGAAATGCTCTATCTGGAGCCCAAGACAAAACTTTGTCTTTCCAAGATCTTTCATTTCAAACTCTTCTTTCATATGAGTTCTTGCATCATCAATTTCCTTTTGAGTTCCAATCATGTTCAGGTCATCTACATATACAGCAATAATCACAAATCCTAAGGAGGATTTCTTAATGAATACACAAGGGCATATCGCATTGTTGACGTAATCTTTACTCAACAAATATTCACTTAAGCGATTATACCACATGCGTCCGGACTGTTTTAGTCCATAAAGTGATCGCTGTAATCTGACCGAACAGATCTCTTTAGCCTTTGATTTCAAATCCTCAGGCATTTTTAATCCTTCTGGGATTTTCATATATATCTCATTTTCAAGAGATCCATATAGATATGCTGTCACAACATCCATGAGATACATTTCAAGATTTTGAGACGCTGCTAAGCTCATCAAAAATCTGAATGTTATGGCATCCATTACCGGGGAATATGTTTCTTCATAATCAATTCCCGGTCTTTGAGAAAAACCTTGAGCCACAAGTCGGGCTTTATATCTTGTGACCTCATTTTTCTCATTTCTTTTTCTTACAAAAACCCATTTGTGCCCGACGGGTTTTGTATTCTCAGGAGTTGTGACAATAGGTCCAAAAACACTTCTTTTATTGAGGGAGAGTAATTCAGCTTGGATGGCCATTTTCCATTTCTCCCAATCAGGTCTTTTCAGACACTCTGATATTGTTTCTGGATCTGGATCATCACTTTCATGATCGATCTCTTTGTATACAGAAAAAGAGAATATTCCATCATCATCTTCTATTTCATTTCTTGTCCATACTTTTCCATTTTGGGCGAAGTTGATGGAAATCTCAAATTTTTCTGTATCATGTTCGTCTTCTGGACGAATCTCTTTCTCTGGTTCTTCAAAAACCAGTTTGTTTATGTCTTCAGGACATATTTCTTTACAAGGTTCTTCTTGAACCTTTCTCCCAAATTCTTTTTCTTTCGGGGATTTTTATCTTTAGAGCCCATCGGCCTCCCCCTCTTTAATTGGACTTTGGGTGCATTTGCTATGCTTCCATCATTTTGTTCCTTAGGAACATCTATCTTTGATGGAACGTTTGCAGCGGGTATATATGATTTCGTCACTCTTTTTGTATCTGTGAACGAATCTGGTAATTGATTTGCCATATTTTGTAAATGTATAATTTTCTGAACTTCCAATTCGCGTTGTTTTGTCGGGGGATCAAAGTGTACCAAATTCGGTGTACACCATGTGAGGTCTTTTGGAACCTCTTTAATTCCTCCCCCTAACGCTGGAAATTCATCTTCATTAAAATGGCAATCGGCAAAACGTGCCGTAAACATATCACCAGTTTGAGGTTCAAGATACCGAATAATACTCGGTGACGTATACCCAACGTATATTCCCAATCTCCTTTGTGGCCCCATTTTTGTTCTTTGTGGCGGTGCTATCGGAACATAAACCGCACAACCAAAAACACGGAGATGGGATACGTTTGGCTCCTGACCAGATGCTAATTAATGGGGAATATATATTATAAGCACTTGGTCGTATTTGGAGCAACGCTGCAGCATGCAAAATAGCATGACCCCATATTGAAATTGGGAGTTTTGTTCTCATTATTAACGGTCTTGCAATCAGTTGCAACCGTTTAATCAAAGACTCAGCCATGCCATTTTGTGTATGGACATGTGGAACCGGATGCTCAACATCGATTCCCAATGACATGCAATAGTCATTAAAGGCTGTGAAGTGAATTCACCAGCGTTATCTAATCTCACTTTCTTAATAGTATAATCAGGGAATTGTGCTCTCAACCTGATTATTTGGGCAATGAATCTTGCGAAAGCCGTATTTCGTGTTGTCAAAAGACACACATGTGACCATCTACTTGATGCGTCAATTAATACCATAAAGTATTGAAACGGTCCGCATGGTGGGTGAATAGGCCCACATATATCACCGTGTATTCTCTCTAAGAACACAGGGGATTCATTCCCAACTTTCGCTGGTGATGGCCGAGTTATGAGTTTTCCTTGAGAACATGCATTACATATGAACTCGCCCGTTTCTAAATTTTCCCGTATTTCAACGGATGGCCATTTGAGTTTTGCACAATTTTTCTCATCATGACTGAACCTGGATGCCCTAGCCTTTCATGCCAGATTTTGAATGTACTAGTAAACTTCGGGTTTACTGTAACATATGATTCAGTCAGAGTAATATTTGTGCAATATAATCCGGAGGACAACATTTTCAATTCTTCCAATATTTGTCCCTCCGATTTGATGCAAAGGATTTCAATGCCATTCTTATTTATAGTCTCTATGTGATATCCATTTTTACGGATATCTTTGAATCTCTTAATAAGTTTCTATAAGACTTCGGGGAATATAATGCATCATTTATTTCAAACTTTGTTCCCCTTGGCATTGAAAAATTGGCTCTTCCAGAGCCCAATATTATTTTTGCACCACCAGAAATGGTATTCACGCTTTCAACGGAATCTTTAATTTTGAGACCGGAGAAATATCTTTTATCTTTGAGTATTGTGTGCGTTGTAGCTGTAACATCCATAAACCAAAAATAAAAATTGGGAATTTTGTCGGTTCAATTTAAGTGAATTGGTTTGGGTCGGTTTAGTGGAGAAAGCCCTAAAATCAAGTTTAAAGAGTGCAGCCGTCTTCTCTTTGGAGAATTTTCGAGTTCAGATGCTGTAGAGGAGAAAAGTGAGTTTTTGGAGAGATTTTCGAGTTTTACTGTTCATCGGTTACTGTTCATCGGGTTACTGTTCATCGGGTACTGTTCATCGGGGTTACTGTTCATCGTCGGGATTTCGCACTGTTCATTGTTTTTCCTTCAGTTTCAATCATTGTCAAGGTGAGTGCATGACTGTGGGTCCGTGATTTGCTAGATTAGATTTGGTTTGTGGTTGTTCTTGATGAGTTTATGTTTTAATTGTTATTTCATGATATTTTGGTTGTTTATGTGATGAATTGTGTGTTTGTGTGGTTTAATATGGTTTAATTGAATTTAATTGATTTGATTCTGGTTTATCTTGGTTCAATTGAATTTAATTGGTTTATTGGTTAATTGAATTTAATTGGTTTAATGGAATTAAATAGATTTAATTCGGATTTAATTAATTAAATAATATTTATTTAATTAATTGGTTTAAAATAATTATTTTAATTATTTTAAAATATGGAAAATTATTATTTAATTATGAGAATTATTTAATAATTGAGAAATTGAGTTTTAATTATTAAAATTATTTAATAATTGGAAAATGGTATTTAATAATTATTGGAGTTTATAAATATTATTAAATATCTAGTAAATTGCGTAAATGGCTCGTAGGCAGAGTGATTGCCTCACTAAGTATTTATTAAATACTTACGCAACTCCATTCCAATGTGTTGCAGGTAAAAGATTTGTGTGATCGCGGAATCAAGGCTGAAGAGGGGGATGATAGGATGTTTACTGTTTTATTGTTTTGCATTATTTTGCTAGACTTGTTTAATTATTATTTGCTTCCGCTGAGCTGATTTATTTGTTATTGATATTTTATTTATTTAATTTATTTTTAAAGACCTTCGCTAGAATTGATTATATTAATATTAAAAAAAAAAAATGTTGGTTGTTTCATTTTGGTATCAGAGCCTAGACGGTTTTAGGACTGTTAGAATTGCTAGGCTTAGTATCATCCCCTTCAGCTAAAGGAGATTCCGCGGTGAGTTTTGGTGTTTGTGTTTTTGTGTTATTTCTAGTTGCTCATGTTTGGTCCATGCAGTGAGATGGACGGAGCTCCTAGAGGTCGTGGCGCGAGAGGGCGCGGTGCTAGAGGCCGTGGTGGCAGAGCGAGAGCGTGGAGGCGGGGCCGAGGTCGTGGTCGTGGACTTCCGGAGGAGTCGGGAGAGAGTGTGGCACCGAGTGTGCATACTGCGTCGGTGACCCAGTCAGTTCCGTTGGCGGGTGATGCCAGTGTTGGTTTGGGAGCGGGGGCTGCTCCGGGTGGGGGTGGCGCTCCGGCTCCGGGTCGTGATGACTTAGTGGTGGGTTGCTGACGCAGCTGTTGGCTCGTTTTCCGCCGGTGGTTCCACAGGGGGCTCCAGGAGTACCGCCAGTGGCAGAGGTGCAGCATGTTGCTGCAGATGTTGCGCAGCCGGAGGCTGTGGATGCGGGTGTGACCGTTATTTGGAGTTTATGGGCCACATGCAGAGGATTGGTACGCCTTTCTTCGAGGGCGAGTTGGTCCAGAGGAGGCAGACGCGTGGCGTCAGAGAGTGGAGCGGAACTTTCATTCGATCCGTTGTCCGATGGAGTACTGGGTGGAGTTAGCGGTCCACTATTTGAGTGGCGATGCTCATTTGTGGTGGCAGGCCGCGGTGGGCCGGAGGGCATTTTGGACTTGGGGCGACTTCCTTGTGGAGTTCAACGCCAAGTATTTCCCGAGGCAGGCTCGTGATCGTCTTCAGATGCGGTTTATGGGCATTGAGCAGGGTTCGCGTTCTGTACGCGAGTATGATGAGGAGTTCAGCCGTCTGTTAGTGCATGCGGGCTTTGGTATGGAGGCTGAGCATCAGTTGACGAACAGATTTCTGGAGGGACTTCGCAAGGATATCCGGACTCTATGCAGGAGTAGTATGCACACTTCGAGGGCGAGTCTGGTAGAGTTGGCCGCGTCGGTTGAGGCGGATCTTGGTGGGCCAGTTGGTCCGGTGGCTGTGCCGTCAGCAGTTGCTTCTGCTACCCAGCCTCGGGGTCAGCATCAGCAGCCGCGACAGCAGCAGCAGCAGCGCAGAGGTGGTTCGAGTTTCAGTTCTGGTTCTGGCAGGGGCGGTTTGCCTGCGCAGGGTCAGAAGAGGAGTAGAGAGGAGTTTTCTGGTGCTAGTCAGTTTCCTCGAGGTGGTTACCGTTGGGTGGGAGCACGGAGCATCGTGTTTCGAGTTGTCCCAGGAGAGAGGCGGTCAGCACCGAGGGTGTGCTACTACTGCAAGGAGCCTGGGCATATCAAGCCCATGTGTCCTAAGTTGCGGAGTATGTCGGTGGCTTCGGTTCAGCCAGTAGCGGCTCAGCCAGTGAGTCAGATCGCAGCAGTGCAGCCGTTGGGTCAGATTGCACCGGCGCCGCGGGGTTACTCTTCAGTGGAGACTGGCGGGACTAGTCAGACCGGGCAGATCACAGGTAAATCTTCGACTCAGACTTTGTAAATTCTTAGTATAGAATTTGTTGTTGTGTTATTGTCTGTTAGTCATTTTTATCTGTGATAGTCTTGTGGAGGTTCTCAACGCAATTGAATGTGTAGGGACCTTGTTAGTGGGCGGTTTTGAGTCCCACGTTTTATTCGACTCTGGAGCATCGAATTGCTTCATTACACCGGAGCGTGCCGAGAAGAGTGGCATCCGGAGTAGCGCGGGCGAGAGCGCGGGCATGGTCAAGGTGGCGGGAGGTGGATTCTTGTCTACTTTGGGCCGTGCTAGAGGAGTCGAGATCGAGATTGCGGGGCAGTCAATGCCAGCAGACTTAGTCATCAGTCCGGTGGAGCTGTATGACGTTATTCTCGGGATGGACTGGTTGTCACACTACAGAGTTCATCTGGATTGCTACAGAGGTAGAGTGGTCTTCGAGCGAGATGCAGGGAGGTTGGTTTATCAGGGAGTGAGACCGACTTCCGGGAGTATTGTGATATCTGCTATTCAGGCCGAGCAGTTGTTAGAGCGGGGCTGTGAGGCGTATCTGGCGACGATTTCTATGTCTGAGTCAGGAGCTGGAGTTGTTATGGGAGATATTGAGGTTGTCCAGGATTTTGAGGATGTCTTTCAGTCACTGAAGGGATTACCACCATCTCGGTCTGATCCTTTCACGATTGAGTTAGAGCCGGGGACAGCACCGATATCGAAGACGCCTTACAGGATGGCGCCAGCTGAGTTGGCAGAGCTGAAGAAGCAGATAGAGGACCTTTTGTCTAAGGGGTTCATTCGACCGAGTGTTTCACCGTGGGGAGCACCGGTGTTGTTTGTGAAGAAGAAGGATGGCAGTTTCAGACTTTGTATCGATTACAGAGGTCTTAACCGAGTCACTGTGAAGAACAGGTACCCACTCCCGAGGATTGATGAGTTGTTGGATCAGTTGAGGGGTGCTACTTGGTTCTCCAAGATTGACTTGGCATCGGGGTATCATCAGATCCCGATAGATGAGGCAGATGTCAGGAAGACTGCTTTCAGGACGCGTTATGGGCATTTTGAGTTTGTGGTTATGCCTTTCGGTTTGACTAACGCGCCGGCAGCCTTCATGAGATTGATGAACGACGTGTTCAGGGAGTATTTGGACGTGTTCGTCATCATTTTCATTGATGATATTCTGGTATACTCGAGGAGTCAGGAGGAGCATGCGACTCACTTGAGGTTGGTTCTGGAGAAGCTTCGGGAGCAGAAGCTTTTTGCTAAGTTGAGCAAGTGCAGTTTCTGGCAGCGAGAGATGGGATTTCTTGGCCACATTGTTTCTGCAGAGGGAGTTTCTGTGGATCCGGCTAAGATTGAACAAGCTGAGTCCGCGTTTTATGGGGCCGTTTCCAGTAGTGGAACGAGTTGGACCATTGGCGTACAGGCTGGAGTTGCCTGAGATTATGAGAGCCTTTCATAAGGTTTTTCATGTGTCGATGCTGAGGAAGTGTCTTCACCCTACAGAGGAGTTGGTGGCTAGGATTCCAGAGGATCTTAGGCCAGATTTGACAGTGCCGGCAGTGCCTGTGAGGATTTTAGAGAGGAGGGAAAAGGTTCTGAGGAACAAGAGGATTCCCTTACTGAGGATTTTGTGGGATTGCAGTGGTTCTACAGAGGAGACTTGGGAGCCAGAGGCAAAGATGAAGTTGAAGTTCAGAAGTGGTTCGACAAGCAGGTCGAGGAGTGAGCTTATTTCATCTTTGTAGCCTCAGTTGTTGTTTTGGCTTTGGTGTTATTGTATTTTCGTTTTGGTTGTAACGATATACATTTTTGAGATTTATGAGATGCAGTTTTTCCTCATTTTGCCTTGTGTTGTTTTGGTATTTCGGATGTTACAAGTGTTTGACCAGTTGGTCGTGAGACGGTTCTAATTCTATTGTTATAGACGTCTTGGAATTTTTACTCTAAGGATTGCGATCCTGAATAACTCATTACGGTTTTGGAGACAGTGGTTCTCTGGCAGACTCATCTGAGTGTAGTGGCCTCAGTATGAGTGACTTAGCTGAGTGTAGTGGCCTCAGTATAAGTCGTGGCTGACTTATTTGGGTGTAGTGGCCCCAGTATAAGCAGCGGTTGGCAAGCCCCTGGGTGTAGTGGCCCCAGTTTGGGTAGGTGCAGACTTGTCTGGGTGTAGTGGCCCCAGTACAAGTGGTTTGAGGTGATGAGTTAAGAGTAAAGATGTCTAGAGACGGCTATGACATAAGATTAGATGAGAGTCTCGGGGATCAGGTGAGGATCTCCTGTGTTGTGGCCTTGCGAGGTCGGGTTTGCGGTCTTTGTGACGTTTTTTGTTGGGATTCGAGGTCGAATCCAGTTTAGTGGGGGAGAGTTGTAACATCCATAAACCAAAAATAAAAATTGGGAATTTTGTCGGTTCAATTTAAGTGAATTGGTTTGGGTCGGTTTAGTGGAGAAAGCCCTAAAATCAAGTTTAAAGAGTGCAGCCGTCTTCTCTTTGGAGAATTTTCGAGTTCAGAGGCTGCAGAGGAGAAAAGTGGAGTTTTTGGAGAGATTTTCGAGTTTTACTGTTCATCGGGTACTGTTCATCGGGTACTGTTCACGGGTTACTGTTCATCGGGTACTGTTCATCGGGGTATTGTTCATCGGGGGTACTGTTCATCGTCGGGATTTCCACACTGTTCATTGTCTTTCCTTCAGTTTCAATCCATTGTCAAGGTGAGTGCATGACTGTGGGTCCGCGATTTGCTAGATTAGATTTGGTTTATGATTGTTCTTGATGAGTTTTGTGTTTAATTGTTATTTCATGATATTTTGGTTGTTTATGTGGTGAATTGTGTGTTTGTGTGGTTAAATCTGGTTTAATTGAATTTAATTGATTTGATTCTGGTTTATCTTGGTTCAATTGAATTTAATTGGTTTATATTGGTTTAATTGATTTAATTGGTTTAATGGAATTAAATAGATTTAATTCGGATTTAATTAATTAAATAATATTTATTTAATTAATTGGTTTAAAATAATTATTTTAATTATTTTAAAATATGGAAAATTATTATTTAATTATGAGAATTATTTAATAATTGAGAAATTGAGTTTTAATTATTAAAAATTATTTAATAATTGGAAAATGGTATTTAATAATTATTGGAGTTTATAAATATTATTAAATATCTAGTAAATTGCGTAAATGGCTCGTAGGCAGAGTGATTGCCTCACTAAGTATTTATTAAATACTTACGCAACTCCATTCCAATGTGTTGCAGGTAAAAGATTTGTGTGATCGCGGAATCAAGGCTGAAGAGGGGGATGATAGGATGTTTACTGTTTTATTGTTTTGCATTATTTTGCTAGACTTGTTTAATTATTATTTGCTTCCGCTGAGCTGATTTATTATTTATTAAATACTTACGCAACTCCATTCCAATGTGTTGCAGGTAAAAGATTTGTGTGATCGCGGAATCAAGGCTGAAGAGGGGGATGATAGGATGTTTACTGTTTTATTGTTTTGCATTATTTTGCTAGACTTGTTTAATTATTATTTGCTTCCGCTGAGCTGATTTATTTGTTATTGATATTTTATTTATTTAATTTATTTTTAAGACCTTCGCTAGAATTGATTAATATTTATTAAAAAAAAAAAAAATGTTGGTTGTTTCATTTTGGTATCAGAGCCTAGACGGTTTTAGGACTGTTAGAATTGCTAGGCTTAGTATCATCCCCTTCAGCTACAAGAGATTCCGCGGTGAGTTTATGTGTTTTGAGTTTTGTGCGTATTCTAGTGTGCTCTTTTCGGTTCCATGAGTGAGATGGACGGAGGCTAGAGGTCGTGGCGCGAGAGGGCGCGGTGCTCGAGGCCGTGGTTGGCAGAGCGAGAGGCCGGGGCCAGGTCGTGGACTTTCCGGCGGATTCGGGAGAGAGTGTGGCGCCTAGTGTGGCGATTGCGTCGGTGACCCAGTCGATATCCATGGCGAGTGATGCCAGTGTTGGTTTGGGAGCGGGGGCTGCTCCGGGTTGGGGTGGTGCTCCGGCTCAGGGTCCTTGATGACTTAGTGGTGGGGTTGCTGACGCAGCTGTTAGCTCGACATATATCTGCAAGACACATATCTGCAAGACACATATCACGAGTGTCTGCAAGACACATATCTCCATCACGAGTCTCAAATTTCGTCATTTCTGGATTTAACAAAGATGCATTAATAAGTATTAAACAATACAAAGCTTATATCACAAGATACAAAATACCACATTAAAAACTATTTTACAACAAAAAGATCAAACTTTTAGGTTATCTTATTCAGAAGATAACTATGTATATCATGTCCTTTTAGTCGTCTGTTTTTCCGTTGATCTCTTCGGAGTCAACCAGAAAATCTGAAACATCAAGATGAGTATCATCGTTTAGGCCATGAAAGGAAGGACCGGGTTCACTGGAGATGAAGTTAGTCTCACTTTCTTTCTCCTTTGCTTTTTGTGATTCCCGGTATAGATCGGCTAAGTGTCTGGGTGTACGACAAGTACGCTCCCAGTGATTTTTCATGCCGCATCTGTAGCAAACACTTTCTTTTTGCTTTTTGAATCTCGGCCGTAATCATTTGCTCGAGATCTTTTATATTCCTTTCATTGTTGGATCGTCGGGACGGTACTCTTTTCCTTGTCCCCGACCACGTCCACGGCCACGGCCACGACCTCGGTTTCGACCGTATCCACGTCCACGTCCTCGTCCATTATTTTGGCTGGACGATGCTACATTCGCTTCTGGGAATGGAGCAGCTCCAGTGGGACGAGTCTGATGGTTCATCATCACAAGCTCGTTATTCTGTTCTGCAACAAGGAGAACTTCCATTAATTTTGAATAACGAGTATAGCCATTTGCCCGATATTGTTGTTGCAGGACTATATTTCCAGGGTGAAATGTGGAGAGCGTTTTTTCAATCATATCATAATCGCTCACATTTTCTCCACATAGCACCATTTTGGAAATTATTCTGAACATAGCAGAATTATATTCAACAACACTTTTATAGTCCTGAAATCGGAGGTGTAGCCACTGGTATTTGGCTTTGGGCAAATCTATATATTTTTGATGGTCAAATCTTTCTTTCAAAGATTGCCAAAGATCCGCAGATCTTCTTTAGTGATGTATTCATCTTTTAAACCATCGTGGATGTGATGAAGTAAAAATCATGGCTTTCGCCTTTAGCTCATCGGATGTCTTTTTCGACTTGTCAATGGCATCAAGAAGCCCATTTCCTTTTAGATGCATTTTTGCACCTATTGCCCATGTCATATAATTGTTTCCAGAAATATCAAGGGCGGAAATTTCGAGCTTAGCCAAATTTGACATGAAGTAAATAGCGAAAAAGTAAATTACAGAAAAATAAATATTCAGGAGGAGGTAAAGTCTCAACTCCAAGAGGAAATTTTTATCATCAACTCTTATATGATCTAAGGTGACATAGTCTACCATATGATCATTTGCTCGGAGTAGGTACAACCTAGCATCCCGGCATATCATATAAACAATAAAATTGAATAGACAGAATATAAGAGCAGTTCGTGCTGATAACGTGTTAAGAAACTAAACTGTACCACTATATATTATGTATAGTGGATGTATGTATTTAATAAAAGAAGAAGCTGCAGTAGAGAGAGGATTACGAAGAGAGAGGGAGATGAGGTAGAGAGACTTTCTATTATGGAGAGGCAGGAGAGAATATTACGTGGTGAGAAGAAGTGATTTTAGTTCTTATTGAACTTATCGATGGATTCTTACAAATGCCAAGTACACGTATTTATAGTGCAAGGAAAACAATAAAATATTTGTCAAAAGCTTAAGTCGGTGAACTTAAGACGGTGAAGAAAACTTACAATAGTAAGATTAAGTAAAATATTATTTGATGGATAAGCATCTATTTCTAACATCACTAATTTTTTATTTATAAATTTTAAATCAACATTGGGGAGAAGTGGGCCTAATGGACATCCACCTATGGAACTAATGGGCATCCACTTACCCATAACACTCCCCCTTGGATGTCCATTATACAAAAATATATTCTAAATACATAAGGTGCTGCCTCGTTAAAACCTTTACTAGGAAAACCCTAAGGAAAAACCTTAGCTAAGGAAAAAGAGTGCAGCGCATAATTACTCCCCCTCATGAGAACACCCGTCTAAATGTTTGAGACGACATAATCCAACAAGATGAACTAACTCCTTGAAAGTAGTCGCTGGAAACTCCTTGTTTAAAGAAATCTTCAAAATCTTCACTTGAATAATCTTTAGAATGTTGATATCGCCATTCTTCGTCAGTGCATGGATGTAGTTGATGATTCATCTTGAATCATTCTCTTTGTTTCATTTGACCTCATAAATAAATGACAAAGACTTTGGAAAAGGAGATAGACTATCATCTTTAGACTTCCTTTAGATGTTTCTCATTTGTGTGTTCTTTGTTGCCTCATTAAAACCTTTCATGGAAAAACCCAATGGGATAAAAACCATGATAAGGAAAAAGAGTACAACCACACATATCATCATATATCTTCCCTTTGGAAGCATCTTCTTCAAGAGATGCATTCCAATAATCAATGCCAACTTTTGGAGATTACTATGAGTATAACCTCAGTTAATAAACTCATATGATTATCTTATAATCTTCTAGGTCATTTAAACTTCTAGTCTATGATATTTTTTATAAGTGTATTCTTCAATATACTTCTATTATAAGTAATTATTTCTTGGTCTATATTTGGACTTCGGGCCAAACTTCCCTTCTACATAAATTCTTGTGAACATATATCTTGTATATATAAGTTATCTCATGCTCATTTTGCTTATCTTTGAAAGAGACCAACACATTTCTCAAACATAATTTAAAGTATGATACTTCAAGACCAAATGTGAGCATTCTTTATGTAAATCTTCTAAGGATCTTTTGAGATTACATCTTTTTGTTAAACTGTGAATATGAGATATCTTAAGACAAATTTGTCTTTCCAATATCTTTTATCTAATTTCAACAATTCTTCAGGAATTTCGATGATGTTTAGATTAAAGATCTCTTCTGATCCATAAATGTTTTATAAATATACATTGGGTAACACTTTTGTGATTGTACCCCAATGAGACGTATTTCTCTTCATTTGATCAAATAATTAGAGTTCTTTGGGAACATAGTTTTGATATCATTAATCCTTCAGGAATTATATCCTTCAGGGACTTTTATAAAAATGTCATTATTTAGTGGGTCTTATGAGTCAAGTTCTTCTTTCATTGCCACACTTAATGAACTTGAAAGTTGCATCCACCACATGCCTATTATAACCCACTTGTTTTACACTTTTTAAGGTGTAAGGACTTCTGGTCCAAATACATTTCTCTTTCTAAGAGATTTTAGTTTTGTGTCTATTGCTTCTTTTCGATTTGGCCAAATCATTACTTTGTGTACACAATGCAATAGACTTTGTTTCATGATCCTCTTTCTCATTCATAACATCAACTGCTATAATGCATGCAAATATTTTATTTACGACGTCGATTTGCTTTTATGGTTCCATTTTATTCCATACATGACATAATTAATTCTCGAGATCTCTTCTTTGTCTCAGGTACCTGAATTTCTTTCTTGTCATGTTTAATGTCTCTTCTTGAGATCAAAAAACATTTGTTTCCTCGGTTTAACCATTATCAATTTATGCTCATTTTACTTTACCGAGGTACTAATATTTGGAACCAACAAGTCTATCACACTTCATGCGTTCTTTAGACTTACTAGCAGTTTGATATTGTCCTTCTGGGAAATCAATTATTCTTAGAGCATTTACAGCTGGTAAGTGACTCAACACTATATTTGGGTCAGTAATTGTATCTGGCAATTGATACAGTAAGTTTTGTGAATGAATTATCTTTTGGACTTTTATTTCACATACTATCGTCTGAGGATCAATGATAATTCATTCTAACTTTAATCTTTCTCCAGCTGTTTTATTTTCTCCCCCTGATGTTGGAAAGACTGAATCACTAAAATGACAGTCTACAAATTGAGCCATATTTAAATCCTTCATGGATAGCTCTAAATATTATCATAGGAGATTAACATCCAACATACATTTACTATCTCTTTCGAGGGTCCATCTTATATTGTTGTGGTGGAGCATTATGGATGTATTCTGCACATCCATAGATCTTTAGATGGAAAACTTTGGTTTCTGACCTAAACCAATTACGATGGGGAGAAATTTTAGTTATTCATTGGCTTTATGCGAATTAATGCTTTTGCATTATATGTAATTATGAACATTTGCTACTGGATGTTCAACATTTATTCTTACAAACATGTTTTTCTCAACAAAGATTTAAGATGTGATTTCACTAGCACTACCAAGTAATCTCGCAAACTTCAGGTTGCAGATATGTAACATTGATACATACAACCAACTTGTTGATATATTTAAGAAACACCATAACATTTCTCTTACTGGATGATCAGTCCATATAATGGTTTATTAGACCACAAAAGTTTCTTATATTCTTTCTAGAAATTGGATACATTCCAAATCTATTTTGGCTAGTTGGTAATTGTATAATCATAATGTCTTATGATTAAACATCACATTATAGATAATTAAGAAGAATCTTCAAGTTCTTCAATAAATCTTTACATGATGTATTTTATTTCGCATAATTCTTGAACCGAAATGGTCTAACCAGCTCATGCCAAACTATGTTATATTCGGTAAACTTCTAGTTTACTACATAACATTTACATCTCCTATTTAATCTTTGTCTATGATGAGGCATTAGATAATGTATGTTATTTTTTCAAAATAATTTTACACCATTGAGTTACATTATATATGATTCATCAGGATTATTTTTAGTGTGAACATAATCTTCTAGATGTTCCACTTTCTAGTGATTGAGGGATTCATCCATTCTCCCCCTCGAGATGATGTCACTTCATGTTCATCAATCTCGAATGGAATCCTAGTATAAAATCAATAATATATCCAACTTGAATCATGTTTTATATCTTTGATT